CTTTATGATGCGAACATTGCTTCCCAATGTCTGACACCTACTGTTTTGTGAGAACACACGAGTGGGTAGTGCGCTTTATGATGCGAACATTGCTTCCCAATGTCTGACACCTACTGTTTTGTGAGAACACACGAGTGGGTAGTGCGCTTTATGATGCGAACATTGCTTCCCAATGTCTGACACCTACTGTTTTGTGAGAACACACGAGTGGGTAGTGCGCTTTATGATGCGAACATTGCTTCCCAATGTCTGACACCTACTGTTTTGTGAGAACACACGAGTGGGTAGTGCGCTTTATAATGCGAACATTGCTTTGTGATTTCTAGCTTGATTATGATTTCTTCTTAGGATTTTCTCTTCTGTGATCTCATGTTTCGCTTCTGTGATTTCTTCTTGTGATTTCTAGCTTCTAGCTTTTGTGATTTCTAGGTTACCAGATGACCTCGTGCAGCTACTGCTGAAGATCGTCATGAAGGAATCGTCGAGCTTACTGCGCGAGTGCACGACGCCGGACCACGTCGAATTCGACAGAATCCTTGCCTCCGTTCCCGTACGCATTCCAGCAGTACTCGGCCCACAATTCACCCGTGCGGTGATGTCACGATGATGTCATTAGTTTGCGTGTTCCGATATCTAATGCGCGAGTAGTCTGTGCAAATGATGTCGTGATGACGTCATTACTTCTGCCGCAGTTTGATTTTCACTGCGCTAGTCGTCTGTACAATAATAACTTTAGTTTTGTCGCAGTCAAACGCAGAGAACTGCATCGTGTGTGAGCGAGCACACGAGACAGCTTACTGTCCCCATCGCGCATTCCTATTAGCAATCCATCCTCCTTTGTTGCAGATGACGTCGGTTTGTCTGCAGTACATGATGGCACTGCAGAGCCATCTGTTGAGGAATATCGTGCTCTACACTGCTGCAGAGAGCGGGGGTGTAGCTGTGCAACCTAAGCCCAGCAGTCCTTCTCTGCAGAACATGCAAGCACACATCATACAGTATGCGAAGAAGGTCTTCTCAGGAACAGAGGAGGTAGCATTAATGCCTGATAAACATTCCTAATTATACAATCCAATCCATGTACCATAAATATATACTTAATAGATGATAATAATTACAGTGATGTGATTCATAGACAGTTATAATATTGAAATGTTTAAAATAATAGTTTAAAATTTAATTTTTTTTATATAATTTAATTATTTATATATTTAATTCTTATAATAAATGTCCCAGAAAACCCCCGGGATGAAGATGTTTGTTTTGCCTCGGGTGAAATCTCGGCTCACTAGTCAAGTAGCGGCACCGCGCGCGGGGGGCACGCATACTGCTAACTGCTGACCCGTTGTTTCTTGCAGGTGCTGGAGACGCTGCATGAAGTCTGCAACGCGCTCATCAACAGTGGCGCCGCCGACCTTGAGTGGCGTCTGCAGGGACTTGAGCGCATTGCCAAGGCGACAGCGCTCGGTCACCTGCTGCCGGTGCTGATCAGTTCGCTGACGCACTACAACGCGTGCTGCCTTGGCATGGCTGACAAACTGATGCCTCAGCTAGTGCAGCTCATCATCCTTACTAGTCAGGTATTTACCTGTATTTGAAATGGCCTTATTAAATACAGTACACAATCTATTATCCATAATTCTCAAAACCAAAAAGCTCCGAAAACCAAAGGTTTTTTCGTGTAGGTTGTCTGCACGCCAACGCTCACGTTTGGCGCCAAAGGTTTACCCCAGAAATGTTAATGTGTTTGTCATTACTCATACATATTCTACTGTACCGGTACAGCACTTGGCCAGCCCACAAGTAGTCTTGAAAACTAGGGTTTTAGTACTAGCTAGTTGCAGGATATACGGTATGTTTATCTGTACTGTATTACCATTCTGAAATCCGAAAAATTCCAAAATGCCGAAACGTGTCTAGTCCCAAGGGTTTCGGATAATAGATTGTGTACTGTACAAACATCCATCTTACATTATTTTTAGCATGTACACTTTGGATGCAGTGTTTTGCACATCGGGAATGTCTCTGTTTGTTAACATCGTCAACCTTACATGTTGTTATGATGTTACACAGGCAGCGTTACTGTTAAAGAGTCAGGTACAAGCCATGCGAGACACTGAAGCTTTTGTCTCATCTACGGACATGTTGCAGATTATGGAAGGTTCACTGAGTCTTCAGAAGTGAGTGAATGTCCAGTCATATAGCACTCTAATTAGAATAAATGTTTCTGCCCATGTCTCTTTACATCGTCAAGGAAGAAATGCGTCAAATAGAAGAAAATAATATAAAAGTTAATAATAATATTGTTAATTAAATTTTATTAATTATTTTTATTTAACTATTAAAGAATCATCTAAAGTAAGTAACTAACAGATCATTAAAATTTTCTTAAAAGTCTATTAAGATTTATTTTAAACTAATAGTTTAATCTAGATATATGCACACTTTATTCAAATTGCGGTTTTATCTCATAGTGCAGATTGACAGAACAAAAACTTATATTTACGAACACGTTAAATTAACGAATTGATTTAAAATCAATAATTTTAATTTTAATTAAACCACACATTACTGTGCGTTCCCGCGACGCCGTCGTTGCAGCTATGAGGTCGGCGAGAAGGAAGAGTGTGGATTTCTCGCCGGGTTGAAGATCCCTGCACCGTGGGCGACGGGTAAGAGTGTGGAGAGCTCGCACCCACTGCGCGACAATTACAAGTTCAAGGAGACGGTGCACATCCCCGGCGCGCGCTGCCTCTTCCTACGATTCGACATACGATGCTCCTCGCAGTACGACTACGACAAGGTGAGTGGCGGCCATGTTTGATCGGGGCAGTGTCTCACTATCCATGTTTGATCCGGGCAGTGTCTCGGTGGTCGTGTTTGATCGACGCAATGCCTCGGTGGCCATGTTTGATCAGCGCAGTGTCTCACTATCCAAGTTTGATCGGGGCAGTGTCTCAGTGACTATTTTTTACCCACGTGATGTCTCACTAGTCATGTTTGATTGGCATGGTGTCTCACTTGCCATTTTTGACCCGCGCAGTGTCTCACTTGCTATGTTTGATCCAAAACTAGCAATGTGATGTATTGGCAGCACCTCTGCGATCACGCTGTTGTCGTTGTTACAGCTCATTCTCTACGCGGGTCCGGGACTTAACTCACGTAAGGTGGCAGAGTACGGAGGCAACACGCTGGGTTTCGGCAGCCGAAGCGTGCTAGGCTCTGGCTGGCCCAAAGATCTAGTCAAAGTAAGTAGCAAGGGTCAAATGTTATCTACAATCAAAGTACAATCATAGCCTTGGCCACCGCATGCACAGTATTAACAACCATCCTCTACCTCACCATGATCGATTTGCGTCGCCGCACATGCAGCCCGGCGACTTCCAGTTCAGCCCGCATGGTCCGCGCATGAGCTCGCCGCCCTGGCAGCCCGTGCTGCCACCTGCCGGCGCGCTCGACCGCTATGTATTAACTAGAATTGTCTGCAGACTGATGTGCATGCTTCATCGTACAGTATTATCACGATTATCGTATTCTTACGATGTTTGTGCAGGTAGAGGGCGATACCGTCACTTTTTCGTTTGAGATGAGGAGTGGCCGCGAGCATAATACGCCCGACAAGGCAATGTGGGGCTTTCTAGTCACTGTCCGTGCTCAGGTATGTCTGTGTAGCATTGCTTACGTTGTAGGTTTAATTTTCATGCAGAACTCTCCTAAAGCTATCAGGAGCTTATAAATGGAATCCATTTATAAGCTCCTGAAGCTATTAATACTAAAGTAGTTAACTCTGTCTTTGTTCTCTCTGATGTTTAGTCTATCTTTGAAACTAAACCGATTAAAATTAAAGATGGTAGAGAAGGCATGATGGTTGATAGGTAGGTCTACATACGTCGATCCCTCTCTCCCTGTTTCTCTCTCTCTCTCTCCATCTCTCTCTCGCACTCCCTCTCTCTCTCGCTATATATATATGTATATATATATATATATATATATATATACGTATGCGTGTGTGGTGTGTGGGTGTGTGTGTGTGTGTGTGTAGGAGAGATGGCTGAGGATGCGTCCGCAGGACTTCCTTCCTCGCTGACCTGCCGCGCTACGGACTCTCCGTGCTGGGCTGCACTATGCTGCACATCCTCTACCAGGCCCGCCAAGTCTCACGACGAGGACGCATGCCAGGCAGCTGCTCAAATCACGCCTGCTGCAACGGTACGTCGCCACGGCAACCGCACACATGCAGCGCTCGGTGGTGTAGCGATGATGCCGTTGAGTCGATCGTAGTTTGCGTTGAGCGTACAGTTGCGTCTTATTAATCATATAGTAAGATTTTTTTGTTTAATCTATTTACTCGTGAATCAATGGGATATGGTAACTTACTGTTCAATTCCCCCATTCCTGTATAATTTTATATTGACTATGCTATTATTCTCCATACATCATCCTCGGACTATGCTACGTAATCATAATATTGTAAGTTACCGTATTCCTCGAATAATAGCCCCTGCTTGAATAAAGGCATGTGTGAATTAAGGGCCGGGGGGGGGGTAAAGATACTTTAAATCAATAAACGCCGGGCCTGAATAGTCGCCGGGGGGGGGGGTGATGATGTATACAGGGTCTCCAACCCTGTGAACTCCAAATGCAGAATGTTCCCGCGGTGATCAGTAACTAGTGTCGTATTCAAAAATTGATGGGGGGGGGCGAAATGTACCTTGGCTGCCGCAGGCATAAATTTTGAAATATTTAAGCCCATTTTCCTGCAATCTGAGGCATACTGTGGGCCATATTCTCATAGTCTGATGACACTATCTCAACCCTAGACTCAACCCTACAAGTTAAATACCGGGTGTAGCATGCAGTAAAACAATAAACTCCCCTGCCTGAATAAAGGCATGCTTGAATAGGCGCCGTGGTCATTAGTGTGACGAAAACAATAAACGCCGGGGCTATTATTCGAGGGAATACGGTATGTAATAAGATCCATTGGAACCATTGAAAGTTACTCGATCACCGTTACCTAATGTTTAGGTGTATATTGTATATGTTATTCTATCTTGTATATGTTGTCCTGTAGTGTCGGGAGTTACTTATATATATACTGTAGTATATAATAAGTATATATAATATAATACCTGTAATTTATATATATATATACATATTATACATATACATATGACTACGTGAGCGGTTTCTCCACCAGGTGTCTCTGGCAGCGAGAGCACGGCAACCTCATCGCGCCAATGGAACTCGTCGGCAGCAGCCTCAGTGCCACCATACGAGAAGAATCGGAACTAAGCGCCAATGCCGCAGTGCTCCCGAGGATCAAGCTTCCCAGCGAGGTCATGCAGAGGTTACGGCAACTCTCCGGCTTTGCTGCTCCCCAGTTCCGGCCGAGCATACGGTAAGTTGACGAGGATGAAACGAAAGAAAAATTCGTCGGCGAAAGGCGAGGATGGCACAAGGAATGGGTTTGTAAATGCTGTAATGCTAGAAGGTGACAGCATGCATACAGATACGTAGACAATAGCAAGCTGAGTAGAGGGGTGGTCTTCTTCTATTTGCGAACATGGTTGGTAAACCGAACGTTCCTTACTTGTTAGTGCACTGAATTATTCGGATAATTCTGAAGCTCTAATGGATTGAGAAAGAAGTAACAGAGCCTCATCCCAGAGTCTGTCTGATTGTACATCAAGCATTTATAACACTACCTGTGCAAGGAGCTAAATATAACAAGGAGAGGAAGCGCCGCCATATCTGGCCCAATTATTTGCCATATTTGGTCATATTGGTCCAGAACAGATTAGTGTTCTATTGTCTCTGGGGAACGGATCTGCACAGCCGTTTCAGCTAATTATGGTCCATAGATGGCGTCCTTGAGGCGAAAAGCACACAGCCAATCCGCTTCCTCTCCTTGTTATATTTAGCTCCTTGTACCTGTGGGGTGTCTCACGACCCACGAGTCTGAGGTTTAACGAACCCGACGATCCGACGTTCTCTTGTTTTCTGCAGCGAGGTCATAGAGCCGGAAAAGATCGAGGAGAGCATAGTGTCGGCCGTCGTCAAGCATCTCGGTCTCGCTGACACGGTGCGCCACCTGGTGGCGATTCAGCAGCACGACAGCGAGGAGTATTGTCTTCTCTGCGTCGTTCTCATCGACACTTACCGCAAGATGGACTCGCTGCTGCGGCAGTTACAGGTGCGTCGCCGCGCCTCACAACAGTCGCCGAATTTAGCCGGGCGCCCGACGTCCGAGACGTGTAGAAATCTCGGCGGGCATGTAAACATTGCAGACTCACTTGTCCGACGGGCTTCTGCTTAAAAAACGCATAAAAATAACGCATAAAGCTGGCAATTAACTGGAGTTAAAGTATAGTTTTTAATTTAAAATCGGGAAATGTTAATGTATCTCCTCACCGTGTACACAAACACCAGGGAGGGCGTGCTTGCCTCGGTCTTACTGTTAGCACCCACGTCTCGCGCGCGTGCGCGTCTCCATGCATCCGTCGTCAGGTGGCGCCGCTGTGTTTCAGACGATTGCCGAGCTGGAGCAGCGGTGGCAGAACGAGGTTAACGACATCCGACAGGGCATGATGCCGGCTAGCATGTCCTTCTTCGCCGGCTACCATCTCACCGAGGTCAGTGACGTCTCTACGCCATCACGTGATCAGCAGTATAACAGGGAGTTTTTACTCCTGGCATGTTAATCCTGATCCCCATGATTACATGCTGTACACGGTCCATGCGTATCCAAGTGGCTGATATTCGCTTCCTAATATTGTGGTTGGTAAAAAAACGTTCAGTGCTTTCTACATATATATAGTGAGATACGTGCTGGTTTTTGTGTAGAACAAAAGTAAAGAGTTGGCTCTGCTCTGCTATCTAAAGGAAGTCGAATGGGATCCAATAACTCAGGAGAATTGTGTCACGAATCTAAGGTAAGTAACAGTAGTCACTCGCTGGAGAATTGACCTCTTGATCATCCTCACAAAGATCGTCATATGTTTAGTAGATGGAAAAATATTTTTAAATTGTTGTTAACAAACGAGGCATCTTTAGAATGAACATGACAGAGGGAAGAGCATTCCTTGATGTAGAAATTTGAATTGGCAGTGTGAATGTTTAAACCTTGAAACATAATACTAACGATATGTAATGTTGTAATATATTAAAATGTAATGTAGCGTACTGGTAACGTAACGTGGTATAATACAATGTGAAATATTATAATATAATATAATATAATCATACATTAATAATATTTTAAGCCTAAGTGCTAGTGATTGTTTATGTTTAGTCAGTGCATCTTTCTTTGTCGATATATGTAGAGGGCTGCTGGAGATAGAAGCTTCATCACCATCTAGAGAGCCACCCGTGACAATGCAGAAAACACGGAAGCTGGTTGCTAGCGTCCTAGAGAGAACCGAACTCCTGCTGCACGTAACCATAGCGACGGATGCCAGACAACAAGAGAGCATGGCGCAGAGTCTCACGCAAATACCCGATGCCAGTGAGCGCAAAAAATACTCGGTTTTCGGATTTTATCAAAAACTTTAATGCCATCGTTATCAGAATTCTATGGAAAAATATAGCAATTCTTTGCAGATTCGTCTCTGTCTGATGTTATCGGTGAACCTGTTAAAATGACTGCGAGATTTTTGCTCAGAAAAACTAAATGTAGCTGAATATAGTCTCACCTGACAGCGAAAATATCACTGATTACACCAACATTGAAAATACTAAGATTTTATGCAGTTATAGCATAGAAAATTGGATATGAACACATCGTAACAGCAATGCATTTTATCGTGTCGCGACAATGCCTAATGGCAGAATTGGTAAACTTGTATTTGTGTCGGTGATTAATTGAAAACAAGTGCATGATTTGAGAGAGAGCCATGCTTTGTCTATGGCAGATAAGCGGTGGCGCCACAAGCTAATCCACACTTCCACCTCGTTCAAGATAACAGAAAACGAATGTTTACGAAACTAGTTCGAAACCAGTAGTTCGAAACTGGCAGTTTTTCGTGAATATGAAGGTTCTAAGACATTTTATTGTTACTCTAAACAATTCCTGTTACTCAAGCAATAACGGTAGGTGTCATGAAAGTGGTGAAAACACTGGAAAATTCTCGCAATAATCGCTTTAATTCATTCTTTGTTGCTTTTATGTCGGTTAGCATCACGAATCAGCCCAGAGCGACCACCGCCAACCTACGGCAGGAGCGTCTCGTTCAATGGCACACAGAGTCTAGATGACAGCACTATTGACATCCATACTCTGAGACGGTGAGTATTTACATACATGTACATATAGTGGCACGATTCGTACAATAGTATGTAATTACAGCTTCACATTAGGAGTAGCAGGAAAGACAGTTACATCACCGGCACTTGTTTATCTGTTATCCGCGTAGCACGGTGAAACTCTCTCACCGTCTTTATTAGATGCATTGATAAATGGCAGCACTGTGCCGTGATCTGTTTCAGGAAGCGGCAGAGGAAGGGACCGGTTGCTGTTCTGCAGGACCTGGCGGGCAGCGAGGAGGGGGAGAAGGATCAGCCTGCTCACGCCCTCCTCCTCGACCAGCTCTTCTCTTTCGTAGGAAGCAATCCCGAGCGAGCTGTAAGTGTTCATCACCCGCCCGAACGCTTGCTAATGATGCGAGAAGATCTGTGAAGAAATCGGCATTCCGCACCAAGGAATTATGAAATATTTCGTAATGACTGTGAATTTTGAATGAATTAAAGAATCAAATTTTTTCATCGTTATGAAAAGCGTAGTGAGGCTCGGGGTGTAGGTCAGTCACAGTTTGTCAGTTCTGTTCATGAAAATTTTAAAAATGGAGTGTCATTCGTTAGTGTGGGTGGAGTCTGGTGTTCTTGACCTTGAGTATTATGTTTCCTGCATCATCATCTGCTGCCAGACTAGTCGTGGGGGTGTATCGTTCGCATGCCCAGCATTCTTCCTAGACTTAGCTTGCTTCCGTTATCATCATATGAGAATATATCTACATATACAGAGCAACGCAGTTAATATTGCGCTCGTAAATTAAGATTAAGTGATATGAAGTCTTATGAAGTTTTCGATGATTGTCACTAGGTGGCGTGCCAGAGCTTCCTGTCGGCTGCTCAGGTGAGGTGGCGCCGCGGTCACACACGCAAACAAGCGCTGGTGCACATGAAGGAGCTGCTAACGGCAGCCTGCAGAGTAGGGGGCGCCACTCATCTAGTTGCTGCGGTGACGTCCGTCCTGCAGCATGGGCCCAGGTGAGCGCTGCCCTCCTGTGTGAAAAGTTAAAAGTTTTACTGTTAAAAGTTTCCAAACTTTAACCTTAGGTTATTTCAGTGGATGCCAGATACTAACCTCAAATAGTTCTATGCATGTGCGTACATATGCGCGTTTGTGTGCGTGTGTGCGTGTGTGTTGTGCATGTTCACAACCCCTCTGTTAAACTCGTGAGTGAGTGCGCGCAGACGTGTGTGTACGTATGCATGTGTGTGTGTGTGTGCATGCGTGCGTGCGTGCGTGCGTGCGTGCGTGCGTGCGTGCGTGCGTGCGTGCGTGCGTGTGTGCATGTTCACAACCCCTCTTAGTTAAACTTGCGAGTAAGAGTGCACAGATGCTGCATTATGTGTTTACGCTGCACCTGCGCTCACGCCCGTACATCTGCTGCAGGATAGAGGAGCTGACGTGCGGTGGCATGGTGGAGGAGGTTCGGGAGGCGTTCGCGGAGACGATGGCTTCCGTCGTGCAGCTGTGTGCGAGGTACCCCCTCGCCTGCTGCAACAGCATCGGCCTCCTCTGCATCATCCCCTACACGCGGTAAGACTACGCGCGACGTCCACTCATATGAAACGTGCGCTGGTGCGTGAAATTTCTCCCGCGAAATGGGAGGATGAATTTACGATGATATTGTTTAATTACCGTTGGTATTATTCACTAAAAATTATAATTAATAAAATTATTAAATTATAAAAAAAAACTATTAAATCAAAATTATTAAAATTATTTAGAAAGATAAATGTACGTAATTTAATGATAATTTAATAAAAAGGTGCCTTTCCTTTAATCATTGATGCACGTGGCGTGCATTCGATTGTGCATGAGATTTCGTCGTTGTCGTAGGAACGAGGAGAAGTGTCTTGTGCGCAGCGGTCTTGTTGGACTCCTCGACAAGCTATGCAACATGAGCGCAGGCAAGACGGAGGCGCCCTCCGCCAGCGTGCAGAGTCCTCACCACCTGGTGGCACTGATGGCCTGGGCGGGCTTCCAGGTGCTAAGCAGCAGATGCGTCACGTGGGAGAAGGACGAGGGTGAGTGACGCGTGAATCACACCATGATGTTAAGTGAGAGACCTCTGACTCTGACACCTAACAATGACTGTAATCTGTTGATGAGTGCAGCTGAGATAGCTGACCCTGATGCTAGTGAGTCTTAAACTGTTGATGCTTCATCTCTACTGACCTTGAGAACAGTCACCTGAGACTGTTGACACTTCGTCTCTACTGACCTTGAGAACAGTCACCTGAGACTGTTGACACTTCATCTCTTATGACCTTGAGAACAGTCGCACCTGAGACTGTTGACACTTTGTCTCTAATGACCTTGAGAACAGTCACCTGAGACTGTGAGGCTGCTAGTATAAAATCAGGTAATATGATATGAATTATGCTATCTATATTATACACTCCTGATAAAATGTGATGACAACTCATGTATGAATTCCAGGTTTGTTTGAGGAGGAGTTGGAACACTCCGGCTTGGCCTGGCAGGTGTCAGCACTGCTGTCAAATCACCTGACGCGTGCAACCGAAAACAGCGGCAATGAAGCGGCGGGCAATGAGGCCCTACAGGAGGTTCTGAACCTGCTCAACAACCTGTCCAGGTGGGGCCTGTAAGGGGGCGATGTGAAATGAACGAGGGCAATTATTGTCCCAGGAATTTAATTTTAGTGGACATAAGTTTTTATATTCTTTTAAGTTGACCCTGTTGTATTCTGCTTTTAACTTGACCCTGTTGTATTCTGCTTTTAACTTGACCCTGTTGTATTCTACTTTTAGGGTAATGCAAAATTATTTCCTTATCGGGAAATGATTTCCTTCACCGCTGCATGTTGGTATCTGTGCTTTCCTTTGGCATCTGTGATTACTTGGATAGTCCAGATACATGCTGTTTACATGATCGAGCTGATTCAGAAAATTGTACACCTCTACTGGAATGTAGCAAAACCGTTCAGGTTCCATCAGACAGACACGATCGAGTAGGTTCAGAGGAATGTACAACATAGCCCAACCCCTCCAGGACGACATACACGGATCACCGGCGAACCGTTCTACTGTTTCTTTGCAGGAGCAACATGGGAAAGGCGATACTGAGTCAGCCGGCATGCGTGTCGAAGCTGCTATCGCTGTTACTTGACCAGCGTCCATCGCCCAACCTCATTCTCATCATCCTACAGCTGTGCCGGGTCGCTCTGCCTCTCATGATGGCAACCGACTGCGCAAAGGTAGCATCCTGTCCAGTCGTAGATGGCAGCACATGTTAAATGTAACCCACCTATTTCTTTGTGTTACACGTAGACGGTGTAGCTTTTTGTGTTACATGTAGACGGAGTAGTTCTTTGTTTAAATTGTAAAACTGGGTAGCACATTGTTTTAAACATAAGCCGGGTAGTCTTCATTTAGCTGATCATTTCGCCGTCCGTCTGGTAGGTGGAGCTACCGTCTTGGAGTCGGAATGTCACAGCATACGCATCGGACGTTGACCTTTCTGATCCGCCAGCAAAGATCGCTAGTCTCCTACTAGCTAAACTGGGTGACTTTGTAGTTCCAGGTAAAATACAATAGTTTCCTATGTATATATGTGTGTGCGTGTATGCATGGGTGTGTGTGTGTGTATATATATATATATATATATATATATGGATAATTGGATATATATATATTGATATTGATATTCAGCGTATAGAACAGCTGTGTAACTGCAGGTAGCAGCAGCAAAGATTCCCTCTGCCTATTTGTCCTTCATCCCATCCTAACCAAGACAATCACCGGTTTCCTGGTTACACCCCATCCCAATCATGAAGTTCTACATTGCGACATAGACATAGATTGCAAGGGAAATAATCCTGGTCACGGCACCAAATGTACGTGACTTACAACCCTGCACTGCTGTTGCCACGGTTACAGGATCGCAAAAGTTTTCCTCTGACTATTTGTCCTTTATCCCATCCTAACCCCACAAGACAATCACCGGTTGCCCGGTTACACCCCATCCCAATCATGAAGCCTCTCATTGCCACGGTTACAGGATCGCGGCTGACGACGAGTCAGCACTCGGCGGATGCTCTCATGCAGGAGGCTGCGGGTCGGCAGAAGATGGAGAAGGAAGCTGACGCTCATGACGGCAGGCTATCGGTGTTCCTGCACAAGAGAGAGGACCAGTCGTCGCACGAGGTGCTTCAACCTCTACTCAGGTGAGTGAGCAGGAGGAGTCTGACTCTCTCTCTCTCTCTCTCTCCCAGTCGTCATACGAGGTGCTTCAGCCACTACTACTCAGGTGAGTGAGTGGGAGGAGTCTGTCTCTCTCTCTGTCTCTCTCTCTCTCTCTCTCTCTCTTCCTCCGTTCCTTCCTCGCTTCCTCTCTCTCCCTATCTCTCTCCCTCTCCCTCTCCTACCTCTCTCGCTCTCTGTTTGTTCGCTCTGTGTTTGTTCGCTCTGTGTTCCGGCCTTCACTCTGGTCCCAACTTGACTCGTCACTGACCTTGACCGTCGGTCACTCGTCCTCGACCTTGACCGTCGGTCACTCGTCCTCGACCTTGACCGTCGGTCACTCGTCCTCGACCTTGACCGTCGGTCACTCGTCACTGACCTTGACCGTCGGTCACTCGTCCTCGACCTTGATCGTTGGTCACTCGCCCTCTACCTTGACTGTCGGTCACTCGTCCTTGACCTTGACCGTCAGTCACTCATCGTTGGCAGCGGCTCAGACAGCCCGTTCCGGCTCACGAGCGGCGCGAACATGGAGAAGATCGTGCGCATGGACCGCGACATGACCAAGCATGGCAAGACGGAGATCTTCACCGAGGACGCGGTGTCGGCGCTGCGACGCGCTGCCAAGATGGCGCAGGCGGGCATGATCGTCAGCACCGGCCCGCTCGTCGAGGCGGCGGCGACGACGGGGGGCGGCGGCGGCGGCGGTGGCGGCGGGCCGGAGGGAGGCGATCGTAAGAAGATGGCCGTCGAGGCGGTGTGCAAGGACAAGAACAGTGAGCTGGCAAGGTAGGTGGTATAAGCATCGGGGTAGCGAACCCACTATGCAGAACTGTACACTATACAGTACTGATGATGATGATGATCATGCAATGGTGATGGTGATGTGATGATGATGATGATGATGATGATGATGATGATGATGATTTCTCGCTGCTGCGCACTTCAGGATGGACCCCGTACGGCCGTTCATCAGTGGTCACGTGGCAAACAGCATGGCGACGGAGGTGATCGCGCTGCTACACAGCCTGCTGACGGCCCCGGAGACCAGCGCAGCGCAGATATGGACATCTGCCGTGAAACGCGTGAGTCTCTCACCAGGTGGCGGTCGATGCAATCCCCATTGTGAGAATGTTGAAATTTTGAAAGTTTGCAGCGGTATTGAGACGCGAAACTGCTTGAAATTGCTAATTGACAGCAGATTTTATTGTTACTGTGTTGGGTGTACGAAATGCAGGGCTCCCTCTGAATGTTTTAAAGTTTGAGCCACGACTTGAGCAACCAAAGTTATTTTTTAGCCACAATTGAAAAACTATAGCCATTGTACATTGTTCACTCTACCGTATGTGCTAAGCAAGGCATAAGGTGATGGGTATGAGAAAAGATGTATACAAAAACATTTTATGACACGGCATTGTGTCACACAATCGTGACTGTTATCATACTGCTATTCCTGTACTATGTAATACTATACTTAAAATTGAATAATTGTAATATCATTTAGAGTTTGCTCATAGTCAAGTTATATCCCGAGTTATATTGTTACTCTACTATCGTTCTGACAATGCCCCCCACCCCTGGCTCTGTAAACTTCACAGTCACGCACGTGTTGTGTGTAGCTTAATCGAATCTTCATCGTTGTTTGCTGGGGTCGGTTGATTGCTGATTGCTGACCGTCGGCTTGGTGTGTGTGTGTAGGTGTTATCAAACGCGCTGTCGTGCGTGCCGCTGCTCGTGCAGCAGTGTGAGCACATGAGCAGCAAGGCGTGCAATGTACCGATGCTGCTAGCGATGGCGCGCCAGGCAGCCGGCGCCCTCTGCGCTCTCGGGGGATTCCACGAGACCATCAAGCCGGGATCGAAAGTCCAGGTAGCCGTCGTTGTTAACTAATCGTTATCGTAATGTAATTAATTTAACTAATCAATATTATATTATATTAATTATTAATTAAAAATTTATGGTGATTATTATGGTGATTTATGGCCATTACAGGTGATTGGCGATGGCATTCACCTGTCTACGGGTAGTGTGCTGCGCGTCGCTGAGGCGCAGGGTATGGCGACAGTCTTGCTTGATATTCCACCCGACTACTCCTACCCACGAGCCAGCGATACGATTGAGCTGCCGATCGCTAGACTGGTACCGCCATACAACGAGGTGAGAAAGCAGTTGCTGTTCCACGGCATTACCCTTGAGAATTTAAATCAGTGAGTGTTCGTTTTTTTTTTGCTCTAAACAAGTTTTGTTTTAAGTTGAGTTCTAAACAAAATTGTTTGTTCATCACCAGATGTGATGTTGCCATGTATGATATTATGAAGCAGATATAATCGAGATTTGAGTGGGGAACCATAGTGGCTACAGCTGTGCCAGTGAGCACCATATTTTTAACACAAACCCTTAAATATAATACATACCCACAAACCATAATTAACCCCAGCCTGCAAACCCTAACCCTACGTCAAACCATAACCTTCAACTCAAACCATAACCTTAAACTCAAACCATAACCCTAAACTCAAACCATAACCATAATCTTGAGCAATACCCCTGACCTAACATTAAACCCAATCCTAACTCCTGACCCTAACCCTAACCCTAACCCTAACCCTAACCCTAACCCACATTCTAACCCTAACCCACACCCTAACTCTAACCCACACCCTAACCCTAACCCTAACCCTAACCCTAACCCTAACCCTAACCCTAACCCTAACCCTAACCCGCACCCTAACCCTAACCCGCACCCTAACAGCGTGCGTGTTCCTTACCCTCAGATGCTGCCGCTCGGTAAGCTGTCGATCACGCGGAAGGTCATCGACGCGTTGCTTGCGCTACTGGTGGGACGCGACGGACGCTCACCGCTGCTGACTCCGCTGCCCATGCACGGCGACGGAACCAGCATGGTGCTAGCCACCGCACGTGTCATCGCTGAGATCAGGACGAGGTACGCTGCGCCCGGGGGAGGGGGAGGAGGAGGAGGGGAGGGGGAGGGGGAGAGAGAGAGGGAGAGAAGGCGAAGGAGAAGGAGGGAAGTTGGAAGAGAATATGATTGTCATATATATGTAAACTGTTATCTGTATTTGATATTTTAGTAATATAGTTCATCATATGTGGTCAAATGAATGTTGCTTTTGTTCTGCGCAGGGCATGCATGGTTCTGGCAGCTTATTTGAAGGATGTGTTCTTTGCGAGTGCGTTTATCCAGCACTCGGTCATGGCTGTTGATGTCATCAAGGCTCTATCTACTGAGTGTAACATTGGTGAGTCTAGCTTGCCATGTGTATTTATCTACTCGCTTACTACAATAGCCTGAATACTACAATACCTCATGATTGATGTTAGAAACGTTAATGTCACCACTGCCATTACTAAGTGAGAAAGAGAGAGTGAGAGCGGGGGAGACAGAGAGACAGAGAGACAGAGAGAGAGAGAGAGAGAGAGAGAGAGAGAGAGAGAGAGAGAGAGAGAGAGAGAGAGAGAGAGAGAGAGAGAGAGAGAGAGAGAGAGAGAGAGAGAGAGAGAGGAGAGAGAGAGAGAGAGAGAGAGTAGAGAGAGAGAGAGAGAGAGAGAGAGAGAGAGAGAGAGAGAGA